AGGGGAGGAATCAGGAGACTTAAATGTCATGCGTACAAACTCAACACTATGACGTCAGTGAGCCAGTTCACAAACCTAGACCTCTGAAACCAAAGTCCAGTGCACTAAATGTAAGGCCACATCGTTTCCCACAATTCCACGTGCATGTCATATAAACTGTTTCATTAAATGACCCATACGGTCCTGCGCACGCAATCCTAATTAATGTCTGTGAGTATCTGAAAGTCACATGTTTAAGCAGCAAATTAATAAATGAATGTGAGTTCACATCTATGAACATTTTCATATACTCCCAAAGTTGATTATTGATCGCTTCACGGGTTTATTATAGTTAGTTTGTTAGCTCAGTTGGTAGGACCATGCAATATCATCGCACGCGTCACGGGTTCAGCTCCTGTACAGGTCTGAATTTTTCAGGCCTAAAAATTACTGCGAAGGTCATTCTTATATTCATGTATTCATGTATTTATCTGCAGTTCACATTTATGATTTTCACGTATATTCACGTTCAGTTTTGATAATGTGTGTTCATTTCCGCAACTGTGTGAATTCAGATCCACTTGTGGGGGTATGGACTCTCAAATTCCAATAAACGTCAGCTTCTTGCTGCATTTTGTACGAATAGCGCGCGGGCTCACTTTGGAACCCTTTCTCATTATGACGACACAGTGCTTGATATCACAGTCAGATCTCGAATGTCACGGCTAAGCGACAATGAGGAGAAAACATTTCTTCGTCATTCTTCTCTTCCTTTCGTCTTTGTACGTTGCACTATCGGCTCGAATCCCTCGTAAGTTACTTTTCACTCTCTTGGAATGTTTTCTAATAACTCTTTTACTTTCCGTAACAGTTGCAAAAGCTTAGTTTTCTTTTGCTGAATTTCTAGTTTGTGGCTGGGAACTTGGAGTGCGCCGAAGGAGTTCGAACATGATTCCAGATAGTCAAATGAGTTCCTCGAGTGAAGACCCGAACTATCCCGCGGCGAATGGCCGACTCAAAGACAAGGGTTGGTCCCCGGATGAACACAACGCCGAGGACAAGACTCCCTATCTTCAAATAGACCTTGGTGGACTGTATCTAGTTTGTGGATTTAAAATCCAAGGCTGTTCCGGTATGAGGCCACGCCCCGCCTGGGTGATAAGATACAGGGCTCAAGTATCACCAGAAAAGGACTTTTGGGACGACTGGAATTATATCAGGGTGTGATTTTGCCTTTTGTCTTACATATTTAAGTTTTTATTTCCTTTTATTCATGCAAAGACGTCTAAGTATGGAGATCGAGTTTGGCAAGGACTAGAAGTCTGAGCTAATGGCCTCCTAACTGTGATATTCCAACGAAAGTTTTTCTTTTTTGCCGTAGCCGGAGTTCCACGGAGGCATATCAGCTAGTGCCTTGATCTACAGTAACGCGAAAGAACGAAAAGTTGGGCAATATGTCAGAATATTTCCAGTGTCTTTTATGGCTAAGATATGTATGAAAATAGAAATCTATGGACATCCTTACATAGGTAAGTTTTCCATTTTTTTATAATCATGATAGAAACTCAGTGTATGACTATATAATGCTTGCTCTCAAAAGTGACCCTCCACGGGAAACGTGTACTGAGGTGAACGTACGGGCACAGTAAAATTATACGCTAAAATTACACGCCAGTTAATTGGGACACTCATATTGATTATCTACTTAGTAAGGCTAGCAGTAGGTTGTGTATTTTGAGAATATGTAAATATTATGGCTACCCTATTGAGAAATTGGACTTACTTTTTCAAAGTTTGATTCTTTCAGTTTTTACATATACTATTGAGGTCTGGAGGTGTGCTTTTTATAGTAAATATTTAAGTAGAATTGATAAGCTCTTTGCCAGGTGTTATAAGCTGGGTTACTGCTTAAAGCAACGCAGTATCTTGGATATCCGTTGTAATAGAGATAAGAAATTATGGCAAAGGATCTCTTCCACCAACACTGCGTTGAGCGATCTCTTACCTCCCCAGAGAACACGGCAGTTGAGAACTAGGTCGCATAATTATATTTTGCCTAAGGTTCAGACAAGCCGTTTTAAATCAGTTTTTACTAATAGAAGTCTTTTCAATAGTAATCAATACCTTTTCTTTTTCCTTATTCATTCTATTCATGTTAATTGTTCCACGTCTGTATGCACAATAATTCTTAATAAAGACCTTTATTATTATTATAATAGGCAGCGGGTAAAATTCAGGGCTCAAAATGAACGCTCGAAAACTCGCAAAATGCGAGTGATTTTGATAATCTACGAACTGTAAAAATATCCGCTAGCAAACTTTTGCGAGCTAGAATCATCTATATCTCCCAAAAATTTGGAGAAAGTTGTTCGAACGCAAGAATAAACGTACGGACGACACCTGAAGAAAACAAAACTGCCGAGGCTGAGCTTTTGAATAAGCACTGGCCAGCGGTATTACATCGGGGCTCTGTGCCAAACCCGCCGCATTCGCGTGTTGTTGTCATTCATCGTGGTTTTGGAGCTAGTTTGCTAGTGGAAAAAATCGTACCAGCAAACTTTGCAAGTGGACTCAAAAGTTAATTTTGAGCCCTGAAATAACACGGCGGCTTCTGAGCGGCGTTTCCGATGGCACGACTAATTAAAGTTTTTCTTTAATTTGTTCATATGGCTCGAGAAAGGGGCATGTCGAGAAGAACAATACTATGTTTGTCGTGTAAGATGAATTCCAGAGTTCCAAATATGACTACCTTCCCAGATTTTCGAAACACCTTTTCCTGTTCCAGAACTAGCAAAAGACAACCACAAAATTACATTCCTAGGGAAAGTTGAAGTGACTAATATAATGAGGGAGGGAATGGTAGTGCCCGCTAAATTCGAAAGTTTGTTTAAATCGAAATATTCTCTTCTATTCGACCCCCAGTTGAACTTAGGGCAAAAATAAGTATCTTACTTACCCTGTTTCTTGGTTCGTACTATGAGTTACGAAACTTTGTTTCTCCACTCCGATGTTTTTGGCTTAAGCACTTCGCGCTTGAGCCATAAATCAGAGCGGAAGAAACCTCCGTCCGTAACCTACAACACAGACCTCGAAGTCGGTTGGTAAGCTAAAAGGTCTATATTTCGTTCAATTTTCTTCACACAAGAAGATTTACTGTGATCTGTTTTCAGCCGGGAACCGTCCGGTATTCGTCTTTATGCCCATGCATGGTGGCTTTCTCGGAAAAATGTACTACACCCGCACACAGGTGAAGAAAGTGGAAGGTACTTTGGTAACATTGAAGGACGGGAAAGAGTACAATCTTGAGCAAGATTTTGCGCAGGTATGTTGAGATTTGCCTTTCCTCTTCAGGGGCACAGACATGTGGCACCTACGTAAATCTCTAATTTTGGTATTTGCATATGGGGTGTCATGAGAATAACTAAATATTCCTACCCGGCGATAAGTAATGATTGGTCCCTCCGAGTGGTTGAAAGCTTTGCACTAGCTCAAGTAATCCGTGGTCAAAAATACAAATGATGAATGTGAGTTCACATCTATGAACATTTTCATATACTCCCAAAGTTGATTATTGATCGCTTCACGGGTTTATTATAGTTAGTTTGTTAGCTCACTCACAGCTCCCCGCTTATTCACCATTCTGTTACAATGTTTTGTTAACTCACTCACAGCTCCCCGCTTATTCACCATTCTGTTACAATGTTTTGTTAACTCACTCACAGCTCCCCGCTTATTCACCATTCTGTTACAATGTTTTGTTAACTCACTCACAGCTCCCCGCTTATTCACCATTCTGTTACAATGTTTTGTTAACTCACTCACAGCTCCCCGCTTATTCACCATTCTGTTACAATGTTTTGTTAACTCACTCACAGCTCCCCGCTTATTCACCATTCTGTTACAATGTTTTGTTAACTCACTCACAGCTCCCCGCTTATTCACCATTCTGTTACAATGTTTTGTTAACTCACTCACAGCTCCCCGCTTATTCACCATTCTGTTACAATGTTTTGTTAACTCACTCACAGCTCCCCGCTTATTCACCATTCTGTTACAATGTTTTGTTAACTCACTCACAGCTCCCCGCTTATTCACCATTCTGTTACAATGTTTTGTTAACTCACTCACAGCTCCCCGCTTATTCAAATAAAACGACATTAAAAACATTGCATTATAGGTACATGGTAACAAGGCCATATATAAGCGGAGAACACGTGCGGAAAACACGTGCCGCAAACACTTATAATTTCAATCAAATTAAGACTAATTAACGTGTAATACAGTTTCCAACACAAGCTATTTGGTTGTCCGTTGGAGATAAGAACTTCATAACAATGTTATGTAAATTATTTCTACGCTTAGCTTTCGATCTTATCTTGTTACACCCGATTTTTAAATTTACGCCCTGTTTGGAACGATAAGACGTACCCTAAGCCCATGAGCATGCTGAAACTTTTCCATTATAAGTATTACTGAGATTGTTACTGAAACACACCTGCTCATTCCAGATTGTTCCACTGTATAAACCGCTGGTAGAAGAGCTCAGAGTTAACGCATGTGTTATTGTTTTGGATGGATATCAGTACAAATCAGGTCGCGTTCATGGAAAGAAGTATGGACACTATCTAATAGAGATTTTAGATGAAGATAGACCACGAATGTTCAAAGTCAACCAAATACATCCTGTTTTTAATGCTTGGTGTGGTAAGTAGTTTTTCCGTGCGATTCCTTCTCCCTAATCGTTTTACAGTGATGTGTTATGATCTTATTGGAAGCTGTTCATTTTTTACCAGCTAAAGGGAGCTGGTGGGATTTGAGCGGTGGGGGTCAAAGGGGGTCATTCCGAAAAAAATGCAGGGAAAGAGGCGTCACGCGAAATATTTTTGTCATTATAGAGTTTATATGATGTTTTACGATTTAAATTTAAAAAGTACATGCATGAAAATGAACAAACAAACAAAAAAAATGGTTTACAAACTTTTCTTCTTCCTTGATTTGGGTTTTCATGATGGTGTTCTCATAACAACATTTTTCAAAGCTAGAGAACCCTTGTAAAAGATACTTTCTAAGGTCCTGTACAACTTCTCGATGCTCTTCTTCCTCCTCGTCATCATTGTTAAGCTCTTCCTCATCGCTGGTGCTGCTGTGATATCGTTTTCAGCCATAGCATACTCTAGAGGCGTGACATGAAGCATCGCATGCACTTTATCTGTAACTTCCGGCTCGAGGTTTGGGATGATTTTGCTTCCTCTCGCGTTGCTGAAATGCTGAGAGGGCTGCAACAGCTGTGCAGTATGTAGATGTATACTGCATCTCGACCAAACAGCAATGCGGAAACATTCTTAACTTCGATGCATCCTTCCGTGGGGTTAATTTGAAATCCTGACTTGAGGAATTCGGCCCAGAAAGTGTGGCTTCATTTTCCAACAATTTATCGAGAAGGCAACGTTTGACTACCTTCAGCACCTGCCTCCTCCCCCCCCTTATTCGACCCCCTCCCTCTTAAAAAAATTGAACGGTTTCATATGGCTAATGATGTTATCTTGCTTATCTTTATATTACTGACATGAATATGTCAGGCAGCTTCCCACTTTTGTATAATAATTTCTTTGCGTTGGTTTCCTGTTTGTTTTTAACTTCCGCACGAACCATGATGGTGTATATTAATGCAAGTTAATATTTATATGAAAAATGGGAGAGAGAGAGAGAGAAGAATAAAAGTAATATTTGGCCATAAAGATAAGTTTGAGAGGTGCACGTACGGTTTCCAAAGTAGCAAAAGCTTTCTAGTTGGACACCGTAATGGTCATTTAAATAGATAGTAAGAGTAAATCAGCTGTAAAGTAAGTAAATTGATTAGGCTTTGTTGAACAAGGTTGAAGTTTCCATTTTTCCTTAAGAGTAGATCAGTAGCAAAGTCTAGGGCGGATCCAGGCTTCCAGGGTTGGTTCGGGTGATTCGGTCGAGCCCCCTAAATTTTCCCTCAGAAAGCTGGAAATCATGTTTCCGAAGACCTAATTTTCAAAATCTTGAACCCCTCAGAAGGGGAACAATTCTCCGAACCCCCCTTGAATAAATCCTGGATCCGTCCCAGAAAGTAAAATGATCAGGTTTGGTTGAGCAAAAGTTGAAGTTTCCATTCTTTTTTAAAGCTATTGTAAGGCATATATTTAAGATAAGTGGGTACGGTTTCCCATATTTTTGAAGCAGTGTGTACGGCGTTTTGCAGGAAAAATCGACTTTTATTCAAGTCAATCTCGAATCCGCCAAGATGGTATGTGTGGTGGAATGATCGTGCGAGTAGACTCCAAGATTGTTTTCAAACCGAGCGGACAAAGTATCTTGATTCGAATTTCTTATCAAATGAAAGATCGAAAGAGGATTGATTTTATGAGCGGCGAAGCGGTGGATCCTGGAAAAGTTGTTTTGGGTGAAATTGTCCTGTACGAGGATATGCAGGGATGTATTGCAAAAGGAAAGGTTACCTCCTATATGAAGCCACAAAACCTCTTTATTATCGATGGAAAGCGCATTAGAACCAGCAAAGTTCGTTCCTTAAGATGTAAGTATTGTAAAGGTTTTCAATGCAGGTAGTTTTCAATATTGAGGTTTGAACTAAAGGAGGGGTAATAATAATAATAATAAATGATAATTTATATAGCGCCCTATCCAAAAGCTCTAAGGCGCTTCACAATCAAGGTAAAAAGTAAAATACTAATCAAACATAACCATTCATTAAAATAACGCTTAAAAAGATAAGTTTTAAGATTACGCTTAAAAGTGTTAAGATCTATACTACATTTTTATGGTTTCAGGAATGTCATTCCACAGCTTAGGTGCAGAGACAGAAAAGGCGCGATCGCCATAACATTTCAACTTGGAGCGAAGAATCACTAACAAATAAAGAAATAATAATAAAAAAAAAAAACACGCCGAGTGCATTGTTTTAGAACATGAGGGTGTGTGTTAAAGAAGCACAAGCTTCAGGTTAATGCTTCCTTTGATCTGACAGCCCTCTCAGCTTATTACAGGCCACGTCATTTTTCGCTACGTCCGCCAACCGTCTATATTTACTCATGACAATCTATGCATCTCAGGAGTATATATTGATAAAATTTAATCTCTCACTTCCTGAATTTATGTTTTACGGGATGATCCATTGCACTGTTATAAGTAAAGCTGGTTTGATCTTAAAAATATTAGAGAATTGATGAACAAATTTAACGAATAAACAAAAACACTCCATTCCAAGATATTTTCACGATGTATTTTTGGCATCGAATAGCGTTCATATCGTATTTGCATTTCAGTTTTCGATGACGACTGCAAGAGTGGAGAGTGGCATTGTGATCACAGCAGATTTCCCTTCAGAGGAAATCGAAGGAAGTGTCCAAAGCAAATGACTTACAATTTGAAAAGATGTGCAGGTAACTGGGTCCCATGGCTGGACTACAACAGTTTGTACCAAGCAATCTATGTAATCTAACAAGTGTAACATTTCAATACTTGTCAAGTACTGCACTTGCTAAAGTTTGAGCAACAACAGTTTGTGTTCATTGCCTTGTCTCTCTTGTACTCCTATACCTAAGAGAACTTCCACCTCACCTGAAGAAAATTTTCAATATGGAGGACTTTGACGAGTTGTTCACGACCGTTGTGCATCCTTCTTTCTGTATTCAGAATGACAAATGTTAGGTCCATATTTTCCTTCCTTTTTTTTTTTTTATTTGACAGGATAGTCTAGAGAGAATTTTTTGCCAATCTGCTGGCAAAATATCCTACCCCAACTCTCTCTCATAAGGAGTTTCTGTATCATATGGGAAGTTTACTGCCATGACATTTTCTAATATACTGCTAACGTTCTGTCTCCAGATGAAGATGAGTGTAAGACGGGTTTTGCGTCGTGTGCACCAGACGCCGTCTGCAAAAATAGCCCAGGGTTTTACAAGTGCTCATGCCCCACGGGTTTCAGGAGTAGAAACCCGCGAAAAGAAACTTGTCGCGACATAGATGAATGTAAAGAGGGACCATGCCACAAGGATGCGCATTGTATAAACACCCCAGGGGTTTTCTATTGTCACTGCAAGAAGGGATTCGAGGGCGACGGCAAGAAAAGATGTGACTACCGGGATGAGTGTAAAGTTGCTGCCAACAAGGTACGAGTCTACGAAATTTATAAACTGTAAATCTATTCCTTAAGGCATTTGGGAATTTTTTGGTCCTCCTTGAGAAACAATTGTAGCTTTTTCTGATCACAATGGACAGTATGGTTTAGATCTCAATGTTCTCCTTAAGTGGCAAATCAACTTGCGTTTTCCTTCACTAGGCAGCACATAAGAATTGTGATCAATTTCCCAGAACCTTTCCCGATATTTTTATTGTCACAGCTTTTGTCTCAAACCATCACATCGATCGCTGCAATATATATAACCTCCACTTAAGGTTACAGTGCACCTTCAGGGGTGTCTCGCGTGCAAGCGATGTAGCGCGTCCAGTTTAAACTGTAGATATCTAAACCCCTATATCAAATTAAAGCTTATAGGACTGGCTATCAGACTATACCAAAAATTTTGAAAAAAAATTAATTGTCGAATTTTTCACGACTTCTAAATGCGAGCGCCCTAATCACCTTTTGAACGTTACATGTTAAAGCGAATTTTTTTTTTCGCTTATTTAATGTATTCCTCCGTTTCCGGGGCCAAAGCGCTAAAAAAACGTGTCTGCGATTTGCCATATTCAATTTCAGTGAAAAGTTATGGAATATTTTTGAAATAGGATTAAAAAAAATGTGGAGTGATCGTACAAAAATAGCTCTCGAAAAAAGAGTATTTAGAAATAAAATTGATTCGGAGACACAGTTTTGTTGTTTATATGTAAAACTAGCTTCTGTCAATTTTGAGAGCAATCGAACAAATTCCCTTTGACTTGTAGCTCTTAAAAGGTGATTCGGACGCTCGCAATTAGAAGTCGTGAATAATTCGACAATTCCTTTTTCTCAAAATTTTTGGTATAGTCTGATAGCCAGTCCTATAAGCTTTAATTTTATATAGGGGTTTAGATATCTACAGTTTAAACTGGACGCGCTACATCGCTTGCACGCGAGACACCCCTGAGGGTCACGGTGCACGGTAACCTTAAATGTAATTTTTTTAAGGTGTTCATCCCTATATATTTGCAGTTTGTGTAATATGCAAGGGATAAAATGAGATCTTTAACCACAAAAAAAAAAAAACCATTTCACAGAGCTCACTCTTGTTATTTTTCGATATCATCAGCAAAAGTGCGAACAACACAAACACGCTGTCTGCGTGAGCTTCCCAGGTGAATTCAAATGCCAGTGTAAAGAGGGATATTACGGAGCTGATATTAACTCTTGTAAACTTGCCGATGAATGCAAACTTGGCATCCACAAATGTCACAAGTGGGCCAAATGTGTGAATACAGAAAAGAGTTATGACTGCCACTGTAAAGATGGGTTTGAAGGGAACGGAAAGGAATGCAGGGACATCGACGAATGCAGTAATTGGAGAGAGAATGATTGCTTGCATAGTGATACTGTTGTCTGCAAGAACACCAACGGTTCTTACGAGTGCGTTTGTGCGGAGGGTTATACAGGGGATGGAAAACAGTGCAAGAACATTAACGAATGCAGGACTGGTTCCCATAAATGCGTGAAGTACGCCGAGTGCATCGATAAGCTAAAATTGTATGACTGCAAATGTAGAGTGGGTTTCCATGGAGATGGAAGAAAGGAATGTACACGTAAGCTTTATTTTTATTTTGACCAAAGGCGAATCACTTTTCATTAACACGTGTGGGGTGGTGCAAGTTGCAAATGGAAAGTTGTTTTTGGTGATGAATGACTTCCATGAGGCAACTAATCTCGACAAATCCTACATATTGACTCATCTAATTTATGCAGCATCAAATTTAACAGTTTAGTTGTTGCGTAGGAGGGCTTTGCTTCTGTGGTTGCAGGAAGACACGAGTTCATCACATTTGTTTAGTGTTGATAGTTCGGGTCTGCAGATGATTACGAATTTTTCTTTGGGGCAGAGATTACATCTTTTACTTCAGTTGTTGTACGGCGAGTGTGATGAGAGAATATGCCAGGAAATAAAGTGTTCGATGTTGTTGTCTTTGAAGGTCAAGATGTGCTTGCTGAGTTCGGTGGAATTTCTGTGTTTAGCGTGGCGCAATGATACGGTGTGAGTCCGATGTGTGTATATATGAACGTTTAACCGTTTTTGTCAATCGCAGACCGCGTGTTCAAGCTTTATTTATCTACCTACATGTAACTTCAATGAACCGAAAAAAAAGAGAAAACTGTTTGCAATTTATTTAGTTCTTAGATTCTTTGTTTTCGCGCCGAAAAACTTAGTGTTTATCTAATTTATTGGGGCTGATCACTTACCGATATATTTTTCAGCAAGTTCTGAATGTATGAGAAATATTCCTGACTGTGACCTTCCAAGAGCAACTTGTGAAGAAACTTCAAAAGGAAAGTTCAAATGTAGCTGCAAGCCTGGTTACAAAGGAGACGGCAAGAAATGTGCTGGTAACTATTTAGCCTCGTTTTAATGAAGCTATTTTGCTTTGGATTGGCCAAATGAGCAAGTTCGCGAAACATCCGCACTTTAACTTTCATAACCAAGGTTACGTTACCGAGCTCTTCGTGCAACCTCTGCTTGCTAGAGATAAATCATCATAGATAATTTTGGGACTAGTAAATGGTTATTTGCACTAAGCAGAAAAATTAGGTCCTTAAATAAACAATAGCTCTCATTTGGCGAGAAAATATGCACAGATACTTGTTATATTCTGAGATGCAAACACTTTTACTGAGAGTGAAGCGTCGCTCTTACAGCTGAACGTAAACTTTAAACGAACGCTTTTATCGTAGTAGAAGTAAGATTTGAAAGCTGAGGAAGATTACTTTGGTTATATCCCTGGATATTCCTTAGTTTTAGCTGAGGCATATGTGATCAAGTGATGTGGTTTAGTTCAATCGCGCGCGAACTAAAACATTTGGTGGATTACAAACTCTGATATCGATGCGCACATTCCATCAGTGTTCTTTACACATTTGCTATGGCGCTGACAGAGAGAAGTTTTTAACTATTTTAATAGTTATGCAATTAAAAGACTTGCTTTTTTGGTCCACATTTCCTTTACTTTCAATATTTGATTAAGTGGTGACACTGTATGGAGGAATTTGATGCACGACGTTCTTGGGGATTGATGGGTCAAACGGATTACAGATATTTTTTATGGACCATCTGTTAAATTTTAAAGAGGTCTTATCGAGCTCTTGTTTAACTCTAAAACGTAAGGTAGATGTTGTGCTACAGACAAAGTTAAACCAATTTTTTTTCTTTTCTCTAGATATCGATGAATGCAAGAATGACATATGCGACAAAAATGCAGAGTGCAAAAATCTTCCAGGACACTATACGTGTACTTGCAAGAAAGGATACCGCGGAAATGGCTTGTCTTGTTCGGGTATTTGATAAAGTTTAGCGTTGTCAGTTATGTAATCCATGGCCTTTTAACGATGATACACCCAATCGTATAGAAAAACTTTTGAATGAGCATTCGATCACAAAAGGATCAGTGCATATTTCTGTTTGAATATGTGGGGAAGTGGGGGGAAGGGGGGGAAGAGAGATATTATCTCTCCTACGGCTTGAAATCCAGTGATCCAGCGTGTGAGATTTGCCTCTCCAGTCAGTACGTAGGGGCTTTTTAGTTTGGTCGTATGATCTGAAAGGACAAAGGCAAAGTAATTCTCTTGGCTTCATCAAATAGGTTGATGATGTAAATTGTATCGATTTGGGAGAATTATTTCCCAAATCTTTATAAGCATTCAGTATGACACTCTCCGGCCTTTCCCTACATCTAGGCCGAACAAGTCTTGAAAAAAACTTCATCGTTCAAATTAGGGCTGCCATGGTATCAACAAACGCTATTCATTCAACACATTTATTTGGCGTTTTTCACGTTACCAACTTCCCACTGATATTGTTGTTCCATTTTTCTATTTATAAACCGTACGCAACCCACTCTTTCTCTATCCGTGTCGATGAAGGGCTAAGTTGAAAAAACAAAATTGTCTCGTAATACCCCCCTACACACACACACACACACACACACACACACACACACGCCTACACCTACCCAGCTCTTCGGTTTCTTTAGAAACTTATCCCTTTGTTAAAAGGCAAAGTTGTGTTACTTTCTTGCGTACCGTGTTGGAATATCTTATTTTTCTTGAAGATATCGACGAATGTGAAACTGGATGGGCGTGTGGTGAAAACGCCGAATGTGTGAACAACGATGGTTCATTCTGGTGCAACTGTAATAAAGGGTACCGTGGAAATCCTCCATCTGAAAAATGCCAGGGTAAAACAGTCATTCTATTTAATTGAGACTTGGAGGTTTAGAAAGAGAAATATGATTCTTGATTAGTTAAAGATAGCTATCACAATCTCAGTGTTCGTGAGAAATGATCCACTTAAGTGGAGGTAAATATGCAACACTTTCATCGACACTGGGGTAAATGATTGTTTGAGTATATACGACACAAGGAAAAAAACATGGATTGTGCGACGATTTCCCAACAGATGGGAATTTTTGGATACAGAGAGATAACAACGTTTATCACAAGCGCAGTGTAAGAAATAAAATAACCTTCGAAAATCTGATCGGAGGCTCTACCAACTTGACACTCATATCGGAAATTTCGTGTCGTTTGTCTTATTTAGGTGAGAGAGTAATCATATGCAATAACTTAGAATAACAGGGATAATTGAGCTGGACAGAAATAGCGAAAGCGATGAATAAAATCCTAACCCGACTTTAGGCTCTTCTGTCTTAGTAGAGTACTACTATGAGGCATATTTGTAATGATTTTTCTTTAAGATATCGATGAATGCAAAGTAGTGGACTGCGGTTATGGATTGAACTGTAACAACACTGTAGGGGCTTACGTTTGCTCTTGTGCTAAAGGCTTCCGTCCAACCGAGGCAAAACCTGGGGAATGCCATGGTCAGTATTGGGATGTGATGTCCTTTGTTGAGATATTGTGCGGTTTTTTATTAAGTGTCGTAAAAACCAAGACCAAAGTACTTACGACTGCCAATCAGAAGAAAGAAAAATACCCTAAAGAGCCAATCAGAATTCAAAGTAAAAACAAGCAAACAGCCTAAGGCACGGGAAAACACGGACGACCAAATCGTTTTTGGTGTTAGTTTTGCAACTGATTAGCAGCCTCGTTCCCGGGGGCCTTTTCCCCACCCTCAACTAAGGAAAAAAGCTCTAAGAACGAGGCTATCTGATTGGCTGAGAGGGTGGTTCGAGTTTTCTTGAATAATCACGGGGCAAAGTGACGCAAACCCGATACAATTCTGAATTAATTTCGACACTCAAATGAAGATTGGGTTAATTGCTCTCGGGTGCGTAGGATTCCATGGAAAGGAACAAAAGAACTCTTGCTACACCGACTTCACTGATGTTGGGATAATGGAATCGTTATTTCCTTCTGCTGCTGATCCAGGGGCTGATCCAGAAAATTCAAACTAAGCAGGCTGAACAACTTTCTGCAAGAGAGTAATCCCCCCCCCCCACCACCCTGACTTCCCCAACTCAAAGAAATTAATATTTACGGCCATAAGGGTGCCTCAGATTGCTTTGCCGGGGCATCACTCATAATTTGATTCCTTGGAAAACAAAAATAAGATATTTGGACGGTTTTACTTGATAATTTAAAACCTACGCGTATTTTGATTGTTTTCTTTACTCAAGATCTATTTTTGGACAGACGTATGGATGACGTTACCATTAACAAAATTTTGTTTTTTTTTTATCGTAGATATTAATGAGTGTGATACCGAGTATCCGTGTGGAATGTATAATTATTTGGAGTGCGTGAATCAGCCTGGAAATTATACCTGTCACTGTAAAAAGGGCTACCGCTTTAACAAAAAGCACAAAGAATGTCAAGGTATGCATCATATCAAAATAATCCAAAATGGCTTCGTTATCTTAAAACACCAATATTTTTGATGAGCCTTAGTTTCCTTGCTTCTTTGTTCCTAGCCACCTAATTATAATAATTATTATACATTGTAGTCACCATCTGTCTTCTCATTGGCTAAACGCCCACAGTTAATTATGGGGAACAGCGCAACCTACAGATTATTCACTAACCTGTACCTCCAGATTACTGAATAATCTGTAGGTTGCGCGCGCAATGCATGATTTCCAGTGGAGCAATGTCAAGTTCACGGACAACGAAATAACTTGATGGCTTCTCGATTCGCTTCATCGACCCAGCGAGAAATTACTTGAAGATAAATATTCGGAAAATACCGAGAAAGATCGACAAAAGTGGCAAAGGAACTGTTCTACGAATACCTTAAAGAGAAAAATATCCAGGAGCCACACGACAAAAGGGAATTAGCCCAAGTGTTGAAATATTTTTATGTGGAAGCGCAAAAATAGGATGGATCGTTCTGTTCAAAAATAAACTGTGTTCGCTGCGACAATGCGTTTGGCGTTGTTTTCTTTAAAACAATGTATAATAAAACAGTTATTGGATGAAGTTTTTCGTGATATCCGGAATAATCAAGGTTTCGGTCAGTGTTATCAGGCTGATAACACTTACCTCGACCTTGATTATTCCGGATATCACAAAAACCTCATTCAATAATTGTGTATAATTTGCCTTTATCAAGAGTTGATAGTGTCAAATAATGGCAAAACACCCTCTCCTAATTTAGCCCACCTCGCGTCTTATCGATGTGTAAAACTATTTATGCTTCGCCCTTAGACATAAATGAGTGCAGACAAAGAGCTAAATGCGTGGAGAACTCAGTATGCTTGAACGCTGAAGGAAGCTACGCTTGTGTCTGCGCCAACGGATATTCCGGCGATGGAAAATACTTTTGTGAAGGCAAGCTCTGAAAAATAAACCTAAAGGTGGAGTCCAATGTAGTCTGTAATCGAAGCAGTGTTTTACAAAATCGGATCAACGGCAATTTTTTTCCGTTGCCATGAAAAGAAAATTGTTTACGGTTAACATTTGTTACGACTAATGATTAAAATTTGTCAATTTTTATGCCCATGGGCTAATAGTTTTGTCGTTTCACGGTTAACCCTGTCGAGACCCTCTTACAAGTGTTCATAATCGGACGGGTGAAATCGCACTGTTTGGACTTGAAAACGTCATTTAAGACACATATAAGGGCTGTTCAGAACTAGTCATACTCAAGCATTTTGTTCTTGACTTAATATGTGCTGAAAGCGGCAGCTGGTAAACAATCGTGTTCGGGAATTTTTTCATAGTTCTCCTCAATTGAGTTGTCATTATGTACTGGTAAAAATTGTAGTCGGACAAAAAACAAAGAGTTCGGTGTTCCTACACACTTCCTCTATCAGTAATGTAACAACTGTGTTATGCTTAGTCGTAACTTTTGTTTCTTATCTTTTATTTACCTGCAGCAACTGATGCGACGGTGAGCATCTTACACCAGACTGACAAAGTATTATTTCTCTTGTTCATTATTCTTGTTTATTATTTCTCTTAACCGTCCTGATAACAAATTTTTGAAGTATTGATGTGTTGCTCACGGTGCACCTTTGGTGGATTCAACATTAAAGCTGTTTTTGACTACCTTTGGATTTCAATAAAAATTCTTGTTATTTTTCCGAGATGCGCCTTAGTTACAACGACCTAAGGTGTGACGTCACACCGTTTGCAAGGAGAGGTAGCGTACGTTGAAATTTTACTAAGTTTCTTGATAATAAAATTTCGAGCAACAACTGTTCTCCACCCTTCTCCTTGTGGTGTCTTTGACTTTATGTTTTATTGATATTTAGCAAATCATAATCAGACTTTAAGCTTGCGTCTGAAGTTGACTCAGGTAGTTTCCTTCGCTAACTGAATCATGAGTTCGGTTTTTTCTTTCTCAAACTCGTAAGTCACCCCGCCTTGTTTTATCTGTTAAGGAAGAGAGAATTAGAGGGTTCTATTTCCAGCCTAAATGTCTTATTCAATTAAGCACATCAATTACATACCAATTCGCATAAATTCGAAATCTGCACCATCATAGACAAAGATTGCTAACAGCGCAGATTTTAACGCCCTGAACTCCGATTCAAGACATCTGTGTCTGGGCCTTAATCAGAACATGTTGTTGAGTTCTTTAGCGATACACTATCCACTCATAATACCTCTCTTCACCTTGGATTATTAAGTGGAAACGTACTGGCGAACTGTCAGGGACACCTCGCAACCTTCAACGGATTGAAAAATGCATTTGCATCTAAGGGAATGAAAAATGCATCTCAGGGAAGAACAGTGCAATAATACTCTCGATTGCTTCATCTCATCGAAACTAGACTACACTCTGGCTCCATCAGCTAAAAGCCTTGAACGGAAGCCTAGCGAACTGATATTTTAGCCAACTCTAATTCACGGTTTTCGTGGGTTTTGTTAAAGTGAACGAAATTTTGTATAATATTAATTGCTGTTTTAAGTGTAAAACATAACCGTTACCCAGCGTTCCAATCGATATCACCGATTTCATTCAACATCATTCGCTAAAGCCTGGTTCACAGATAATCGCAGACGATCGCAGGTGATCGCACGTTCGCTGAAACCACTCAGCCGACGATCGCGAATCGCATGTTCACATATGATCGCAGCCGATCGCAGCGACCTGTGACAACCGAGTCCATGGTTTACCATTCAGCGGCAATACAATGTAACTCTAGTCAACCAAAATAAGCGCAAAGGACGCTGAACTTTAATAGGTGTTAACATTCTCCTTCTGTTGTCTTTACTTAAACGGAGAATCGCTGCCAAATCAAAGGAGAAACGTCGCTTCTTGATGCAGTAAGTCTTAAGAAAGAGAGAATTCATTGCTAAAGCGATTGAATAAACTATCGTATTCTCTTATTTCTTCCATAAACTGTTCTGTGTCAATTTCACCTTCCACCTTGTCAAAACACACGCACGTGTAAAATTTGATAAACAACTGGTTGTCATGGTATCATGTCGCTTGCATAGCATTATTGGACACATTCCAATCGGATGATCGCAGAACTTTGTTCACATATGATCCCACTGGATCGCAGACGATCGCAACCCATCGCACGAATAGAACCATGTTCTATTCCTGCGATTGCGATCGCACACGATCGCAGAGCTGTTCTCATATAATTGCAGACGATCGCTGGCGATCGAGTGCGATCGTCTGCGATCATGTGTGAACCAGGCTTACGTGTGTCAGTGACCTGCGTACGATGAATGAGTTGCTAGTAACCGGATCGCTATGTTTGCGCAAAGATTTCTGCGCAAAGATTTCTGGGATCGCCACGGCGCAAATATTGCAGCCTACTAGAAAGAAATGTATGGCGAAAGGCAGTTTCGATGTTAAAAAAACCAACGAGTTTTTGAGAGAGATCAACGCTTTTTCGCCGCAGTTTTATCATAGATGGATTAAGGTAATTTTAATACAAGGTGTAGGTGCAAGTTGTGGTGGGAATTACCCCGAAATATGTTATAAAATATACAGATAGACTTCTCTCCTTGCGTAAGGTCTATTGTGAAATGGTCTCGACGTATCGCGTAATGGTCTCGACGTATGACAAGATAAGCCATAAATCGCTAGGAAACAACTCATTTAAGTCTAATCAGTTATATTTATGTAAGTAGCTAGAGCATGTCTTCATACTCGTGACACATTTCCTACTCATAACACATTTCGGGGTAACTCCCACCATAACTTACACCCACCTTGAATTAAAATTATCTTAATCCATCGGTTTTTTGAACATCGAAAACTGCCTTCGCCATACATTTCTTTCTAGCGGGCTTCAATGTTTGCCCCGTGGCTATCCCAGCTATGTTTGCGCAAACACAAGGATCCGTTAACTGGCAACTCATTCATTTAATCAAGCGAGCCCACATCAGTTGACAGGAAATGACGATTAAAATTTTAGCAATTAGCAGATAACAGCCCCTAACTTGAAGTTTGAATTAGCCATTCCCTTCACCTTATCCCACGGTGCTTTTGACAAACGTTACGCTGCCCACGCTAACAACACGCTCTTCCAGGAAATTTATATTGTCTAAACAAAGATGATCTGCTTAGCCATTCCCTTCACCTTAGCCCACAATGCTTTTGACAAACGTTACGCTGCCCACGCTAACCGCACGCTCTTCCAGGAAATTTATATTCCCTAAACAAATATGATCTCTTTATCAACCTAGGGAAACCACATGCACTTTTACGCAAACAAAATGCTGCTGCTGCAATGATTTAATGTGAGAGAAAACGTGATGCACTATCCGCTGGTTTGTTATGCAATTTTCATAGAGCTCTAAATAAGATTGTAACATAACCAAAGTAAAGCACACGCTCTGATTGGTCAATTCAGCGTCCACCATTGCCCATGGGTGAACGCTGTTGACGTGAGCAAATATAAAGACTAGTTTTCCGCGCGCGCTTGTTTTCTCTGGTCACGTAAGATTTCTTAAATAAAAGAAAACTCTTTTGCTACAATGTATCAATGCTATCTTATATAAAGCAGATGGAAAACGCCACAGTGAACACTATTGAGTTATGGAAGCACTTGGGAGGTTTGCTAAGCACACAAGAAGCTAGAGTCGCTCTCAGCGATCGCCTCGCGCGACTCTTAAGCTTCTTTCGTACTTAGCAACCTCCCGCGTGCATCCATAACTCAAGAGTGTACGCTGTGGTATTTACCATTTGTTAAATTTTACGCGTACTTTAGAATGATCATGATCATTAATTATAACTTATGACGGCACAAAAGAGCTTGGCGTGGAGATAAAATTTCAGCTTGCCATCAGCGCGTCAAAGTAGGCGTTTGCCGTCAAAGATGTGTTATATTGGTTCAGTATTAAGGTGGCAGAGATAGAAATTACATGGTATTAGGATTGACTTATAGGTGCCAGTCTTAGCAGGCTGATTTAGTATAAAACTGTCTTGTATTTAACTGAAATTAAAGTATATATGCTAAGCAGCTGCTATCAATTCTGATAGCCTTGTAAGTTTTCTCCAGGTACGGAACCGAAACATTTTTGAGTCTGCTCGAATGGTTTACTGCTGAAAAAAATGGAGTACCTAAACTTTAAAGTTTTTCTGTTCAGTCCAAAAACTTTCCAGTGGAACCATATGTATTGCATTCGATTCAGTTTTAAAAAATACAAAGACTCAAATGCTTACCTGCATATGGCAGTGTATAGATTTCCATCTTCAAGCAACCTATATTCTTGTAAACATGCCTGGGAAATATACCTGGGAAATATACCTGGGAAATTTCTGACAATTCTTTATCCTTTTTAGACATCAAAGTTTCAATTGAAGGTAACGGTTTATGCACTAGTGTGTATTACAAACCTACATACTCGCATAATTACTTGTTATATTCGTCTTCGCATCCATCTCACGTTAAGAATTCCATTCCTTTTTCTCAGTTTCTAAGACTTCGTCGTTTATGTAGTGATGACTCTGATTTCCACCACAAATCAGAGTCAATGTGCCAGTTTTTCGATAAACGTGGTTACCCTGTTTCTGTCGTTCAAGCGGGTTACCACCGCGCCCAACTTATTGATCGACATTCAGCACTACAAACGTCGCATAAGGAAGATTCCGACCGCATTCCATTCACTCTCACGTTTCACCCTCACAACCACTCAGTTAAATCCATCATTCTTAAAAACTTTAAATTACTTCAAAACGATCCAGAGACAAGCACTATCTTTTCGCAGCCTCCGCTCATTTCATTCAAACGCGACAAAAACATAGGCAATTTTTTGGTCAGAAGTTCTTTTCAGACTAATGACCAACCAGGCACTTTTAAATGCGCTCGTGCACGATGCAAAACGTGTCCTTTCATTCACAACACTGATAAAATATCGGGACCTAAACGATCCATTAAGATCACCGATCACTTCACGTGCACCTCCGCCAATGTAATCTATTGCATAACTTGCACTTATTGCAAAAAGATATACATCGGCGAAACAGGCAGAAGACTAGGTGACCGATTCCGAGAACACCTTCGAGACGTGGAAAGGAATGACAAGGACACATCGAAACCAGTCGCTAGACATTTTAATTTACCTAATCATTCTAAGCAACATATGGCAATCTGCGGTCTTTCCTTACACTTAGGTAGC